GGCGGGGAAAGGCCGCCGGGGGTGGGGATCGGGGAAGCCGCCAACAGGAGGAAGAGGAGACAAACTTGAGAAAGAAAGGGCTAAGGGACAGGGGTCTTTCAGATACAAGACTAAGATCACAGCTAGCCTTAGTCATTTTTGTTTGTAAATATCAATGGGAGTGTATTTACTAATCTTGTAAAGGGTAAATGCTAGATGAAAATGAATTTTATGAAAATAAATATATTTTCATTTTAGGCAAGCCATTGGGATATTGAAAGCTATTTTTCTTTTCCTACAAGAGATACTAATTTAGTAGAAAGTAAAAGTCAAGAGGAAAGCATGAAAATAAGTCCTTTATTTTCTAAAGAGGAGTCATGCTTAGACTCAACAGAAGACTCTCTACTTACTGAGGAAAATAAAGATGATTCACTACACATGTAAGTACTTTTAATCATTAAGTAGATGTGAAGTCTAACTAAGACATGGGTACAGTTGTACCTAACATCCCGTGGTACTCTGTAGCTATCCAATGACAACCTCAAAAGTTTTCTTCCTGCTTAGATATTATTGATTGTTTGTACATGGTATGGATATGTTCTTAGGGATACTTATATTTTTATGTCTTGCCTCCATTGAATTATTAATTCTTACCCTCATCTCATACTTAGGTTCTCCTTCTTTGTCTCTGTGCATTTGTCTGTCTCTGTCTCTATCTCCACCCACTACCTTTCTATCTCAGTCAGGGGATCCCTGAGAAGGTCTTGCCTTGTTTTCTAGTTGGACAAGGCAACCTAGTATGAGGAATTTGTTCCCAAAAGTCAGCCAAAACATTAGGTACTGCTCCTACTGTTAGGAGTCTCACAAGTAGACCGAGCAACATAACTGTAAGTGGATTTTTCTGTACAGACAGCAAGCTCCCAAATAACAACACACAGACTCCTTATTAATTATGAGAGCTTGGTCAAGAGCTTAGGCTTGTTTTTAACTAGCTCTTGTGATTTACGTAAACCCATTTGTACTAATCTACATATTGCCATGTGGTTTGTGGCTTTACCTGTCTTCTAACATGTCTTGTTCCCTCTGTGTCACCTGGTGACATGTCTGGCTCTTCTACCCACACCTCCTGCCTAGCTAATAGCCATTTAGGTTTTGTTTCTTAAACAATAAAAAGGTGCCTTTGGAAAGGCATATCTTTACAATGTACATTTTCCTTTTTTTTGTTTAAATAAAAAATAAAGGTTATAACTCTAACATAGTAACACTATATATGATAAGAACAATTATCAGGCAAGAATTACATTCATAAAATCCAGACCATTTTTATTTTGCAACTTTGGAACATAAACTCCTTTATGTATCCTATCTTAGTGACTTTAAAATTCTCTACCTAATTTAACTTCCATCATAACTAAGGAAAACTATACCTATCTCATCTTTAACTCCATCAAAGACCCCAGAAGAATATATTCTGCCTGACTAAACAATTACTTAGGCTAATGTTTGGCTCTGGTCATTGCATCTGTTTCTATCAGTTACTGGATGAAGGATCTCTGATGACAATTGGGGATGTCAAAAATCTATGAATATAGAAGAATATTGTTAGGCATCTTTATGTTGACATTTTTTTCTCCAGGTGTGTTTGGTTCTATCTTAGATCTCTGGGCCATACAGCCTCTGGGTCCCAGCACTCCACACAGTATCAGTGGTAGGCTCATTCCATGACATGGGTCTCCTATAGAAATAGTCATTGGTTGGCCACTCCCATAATGGCTGCACAACCCTTATCTCAGCACATCCCATAGGCAGGATAGACTGTAGGTCAAAGGTTGTGTGGCTGGGTTGGTGTCACAGTTCTTCAACTGAACATCCTGGACAGCATTGTTTTCTAGTCTGTTTAGTTGTCTAATTTTTTTTTTTTTTTTTGGTTTTTTGAGACAGGGTTTCTCTGTGTAGCTTTGGAGCCTATCCTGGCATTCGCTCTGGAGACCAGGCTGGCCTCGAACTCACAGAGATCCTCCTGCCTCTGCCTCCCGAGTGCTGGGATTAAAGGTGTGCGCCACCAACGCCTGGCTAATTTTGTTTTTTATTAATAAATATTTTTAAAATTTTAAATTCAAATATAAATTACATCATTTTCCTCTTTCCCTTTCATGCCTTACTCTATCTCCATTTCATGGCCTCTTTTTCTCTTATTCCTGTTATACTTCTATTTTTTATTCTGTCCTCAACAGAATTATGAGAAATAGTTCCTTTCCTTGATATTAATCTGTTTGTCTCTATCTATCTACCTATCTATCATATATCATATATTTTATTATCTATCATGTAGAATTATATATATTGATCTGGGATATATATGTATATATATCCATATATAGATCTATGTCCATATATATAGATCTATATCCATGTATAGATCACCTACCAATCATCTCACCATCATTAATCTTTCTATCATTTATAAATCTGTTATTTATCAAACACTATCATCTCAGAATGTTTGTCAGACTTTACTCCTGTTTAGGTAAAATGCATAGGAATTTGAACAGAAGTAGTTCCAAGAGCTTAACTCTATTTAAGTATCACTCTTCTTAAATTTCTAACTTTTGTGTGTTGATCAGACTTATAATTTCTCCACATTATTCAACCAAACTCCATTCTTATTTTCTACTTACTTTTGAATGTAAGGAAGTTTCAGCATTTATTTAGCTTTATTTCCTGTATTTTTCCTAACTTATGCTCTCATAATTTCACCTTCTATTCTAAACTGTCATATTTGAAAAGAGGATTCTATCTATTCTGTCTTCTATAAAATTGCAACCGTTTTGCATATGCATATACATTTATGTTTGGCTTATAAAATTTTAAGGAAAAGTACCAAAAGTTCCTCTACACTCCTCAGACTATCCCCCACAATGTCTTATATTTGTACTGAACAGTTGTTATAGTTGATGGATAAGCATTGATGTTGTGCTGCTCATTGAACTTCATAGCGTAAGCTTCATAGTGTTATGTTTTACAATTTCTGTGGATTTTTTTCTTCTCCATCCTTAGCTTTAAATTGCTCAGCTTCCACATGTAATATATATGTTCCTGAACTCTGGCTCTTTTGTTTCTGAGTCCTGTGCCCTGATCATAGTATAGCCATATTTGGGGATGCCATCATTCTGGAATTAAAGAAAACTTCTCTATGTATTTAAAAGCATCTAAATTCTCATCTTTTGTTTCTTCTTCTAGACTTAATTCTTACATATCTTTATAGTCTTTACCCCACTTTCTTATCCACTATCCCTGTGACTAAATTAAGCAAGCACTGGTATTATGCTCTCTTCTTAGCATTGCCCATCCTGTAATGACATATAGTTAAGAGTTGTGTAGTAAACAATCCTTACACGCTAGCTTTCTTGACAAATGGATGCACATTTAAAGTTCCTCAATATTCGCTGAAGATATGAGAGTTCATTTCTTTTTTCCCCTAAGTAATGTGGATGAACAATTAATCCATTTACCATCAAATGATCTTGATTACTTCACAATTTGACAGTTATATAGAATAAAATTATAAATAATAACTATTTACATGAGTCTATTTCTGAGTTTTAGTCTATTGCATTGATCTAGCTGACTGTGATTTTCACCAACATAGTCCTGATTTAGTATTGCAATTATATATTAATCCATGAAGAAAGGTAGTTTGTTCATAGTATTCTTGTTTTTTTTTATTTGAATTACAAACAAGATTGAATTACATGACAATCTCAGTATTCTTGTTTTATTCCTCCATATTCTTTTGGCTGTTCTAGGTCTTACATATTTTCATAAAAATGTCAGTCACTTCATTGACATCCGTAAAATATGTTTCTAGACTTACAATTATGATTTTTATTGAAATATAAGTCAGCTTGGGACAAACCAGTGACATTCTCTCTACTCATGACCATCTGTTATATGACAGGATATTACTGGGGAGACACAACACATATATATCCACTGACCCTCACAAAGTGAAACACCAAAGACTGAAGTAATGATGGAACCTAAGTCCAATTTGGTGAACTTATGAGCTTTTACTGGGATTACTAACAGAAATATGGGTGAGAACTAACAAACAGAAGGATTGACTCAAAAAAGTAGCTGTATCCTGAAAAGGACTATGTCAACACAGCTGGTGACTCATGAAGGTTGTCATCCAGGCAGGCAGCTGGCCAGGTGGAAGAAATGTCTTTGCTCAGCTTGACTAGTCATATGGCAGCTGTTTATGGATGTTATAAGGCTGGGAGATGGCTTCCAGAATCTTGCAAATTTCCACTTTCTGAGACATGTGACCTTTTGCTTACTTGGAATCTCTTGAGTCCTGCCTTCCTGTGGAGGGAATGTTTCATTTCAGAGGAAGCTGCTATACAACAGTATCATTCTATTTATACATGTCTTTTTGAAAAACTTCCTTCCTTAGAGTTTTATAATTTTCCTAACACAGGCATTTCAATGTATATTTTGTAGATTATACTTAAATATTTCAATGTTTATGCTAGCATACATGGTGTACTTCAAATTCCAATTGTGTTTTGATTATATATAAATAGATTTTTTGATAAAATCTACTTTAACTAAGTGTTGCTGTAATAGCTTATTATTTCCAAAAGTGTTTTTTCTTACTTTTACTCCCTGGGCAATATTTTCATCAAAACTGTTATTATTTCTTTTTTTTCTAATCTGTACCTATTTTCTTTTCTTTCTTCTCTTTTCATATTAGTTACAATTTATTCTAATCTGGTGTTGAATGGAGGGAATATTGTATAAATTGATTTCTAAATGGTGAACAATCTTTGCACATGTACATTTGAATAAATCCCACTTGGACTATTGCATATAATTCCTTTTTGTATACAGTTGGATTGGCTTAATAACGTTATGTTAAAGTTTTGAAACTATGTTCCTGAGAGAGATTGGTCTGCAGTATTTCTGTATCTTGTTTTGGTATGAGAACTGTGTTGCTCCCTAGAATAAATTACAAAATGTTCTATTGCTCCCATTTTGTAGAACAAAATCAGTACTTCTTGTGACTTACATGTTTTCCAGAATTTACCAGTGACATGATCTGGGTTTGATGATTCTGTTTGGAAGGTTATCATTGCTTCTATTGATAGAAGCATTGCCTGTTTATAAACCATTACATGCTTATGAAAAGCACTGGTCCCATTAGGCATATATGATTACAAACATAATTTGGTAGGCACTTGAACTTACTGCTTAAAGAGTAAAATTCACTCACTATTTATTGCACATATGGAAAGAAATGCTTAGCAATGATAAGAAAATTGTTCCATAAAATTCCCAGTATGTATCAATTGAGTGCTACTATAGTCTTTTATGTTGACCAATCAAGAATCATCCACAGCACAAACTATCTTTCCTTCTTCCCTGCCATTTACTATTC